TCGCACATACACACATGCACAGTAAAATCGGAAAAGGTCCAGGTCTTGCGACTAAAATTTCAGCTCCAATATGAGTCAGCTTTAAGCTGCGGTCTCACTTACTCCCGGCAGTGCCCAGGACCATCGGTAAGTAACCGGGATGACACGGGACGATCCGGGGTGAAATTATTGTTGCGGTCACACATACCCCGGCAGCACTACGGTAGTTCCCAACTTACAACCCAGGATGCGCCCCGGATCATCCAGGCAGAGCCCAGGTGAAGCTACGGTTCCTGCCGTTGCTTCCCCAGTCGTTCCCGGATGACGCCGGAAGAGCCCCGGTTAACCCAGGCAGAGCTCCGGTCGATCCAGGCAGAGCCCCAAGTAGAACCCCGGTGGATTGAAAACGCCCGAAAATGATAACATTGACACATAATTTTTATTTAATATAATATCTATTGTTCCAGAATAGTAATTCACGATGATTTTGTGAAAAATCCTTATGCCATACAGTAGAAGGGAAATGGGAAGGGTTTTTAATACAAACACGTGCAATAATCGCAAATTGTGGTTATTCTTTTGAAATGATCCGGGCTTTGCCGGGGCTCTACCGGGATCTACCTTTATCCTCCGGGGCTCTGCCTGTATTTACCGGGGCTCTGCCGGCATATACCGGGGCTCTACTGTAGCTCTACCGGCTATATCATATCCCGGATCATCCCCGGTTTGTGCCGGCAGAGCTACGGTGCTTCCCCGGTATAACCCCGGTGGTTCCCGGCAGATCTAAGGATGAAGCCGACAAGGCTATATCTTCCCGGATCATCCCGGACCACCCTGGTGATATTAAATATTTTATTCTATCTATCAGGCTCTGTCTGGATGATCCGGAGCGCATGATGGGTGGTTAGTTGGGAACTACCGTAGTGCTGCCGGGGTAAGTGTGACCGCAACAAAAATTTCACCCCGGATCGTCCCGTGTCATCCCGGTTACTTACCGATGGTCCTGGGCTCTGCCGGGAGTTAGTGAGACCGCTGCTTAAGCATAGCCTTGGCATAGTAAGGCTATTTTATATTAATGTCATTGGTAAAACTTGAGCTTAGTGTCGTGTTTTCAATTACTGTATTTGTGCAATCGACATTTATAGAAGTATATTTTTGATCATCACGTGTTGTTACTGTTTTTACGACATCCATGCACGGGACTCCGTGTGTTTCATTTAATACATCATCAGTCTATAATTAACCTTAGCGATGCATTATATGTAATAATCTTGCAAATTAATTTCAGTAGTTTGTAAAATGTTGTTGTTGAAGTCACCATAATTCAAAATTATTTCGTATTTGTAAAAAGAGACAAACATAATCAGAATGAATTTTGCAGGCACATTGAAACATATATAATCATAACGTATAGGGTTACTTAAACTAATGTTTCGCTTACATTTCAAATATATTGATAATTAATCATATTTATTTTTAGAAGTATGCAATGAATAAACGGTTTTCATAACTTTATGGTTTACTTGTTTAATTACATGTAAAAATAATGCACTGTATATAATGTACTTTGTACTAGTCTTAATGTAATGCCGGTTTTTTTTCCACAGTCCTTGTAATAAAGTTGGTGTTTATATGAATAATCAAATATGATAATAACGATGCCTGTGTTGCTGTGGTTTTGCAGGAATTTATGCTCATTTTGTTATTAAACAGAACTATTACCATCATCTTTGTAAATATAACATTGTTAGTTATAAATATTAACATTTCTTTGTCCGGATTCCAAATTTATGATATATTTCAGTCGCATAGTCAAGTATGTTATGAGTTATAAGGGGAATAACATAAAGCGATATATAAAACTGACACAGCAATACTGAATGATTTAAAACGAAACTTCAGATTCTGTTTATAAAACTCATAAAATACACAACGAATCTAAAAAAATGTTTAATAACACTTCAAATTTTATTTCAACAAATTTTGAGTTATTTTTCTATTTTAAGTGCAATAAAAATGAATAACAACCAATATCATATGACAATCAATATACATGTCATTTTTTTTTCTGTTTTAAAGCTTACACCCATATATATTATATAATAAAAATGATTTACTTAAAAAAATAAATCTGTATTGAACAATATATATTACAAGTATTTGCACATACCTTTGGGGGGGGGGATTAAAATCTTAAATTTTGAGTTTTACCAACGCAATGCTCAAACTTGAACCAAAATTTTATTTTACTTTGATATTTTGATTACACTTGAAGGAATATAAATATGTCATAAGAAGTTTAAATTACCCCTCCTGAACGAATGGCAAATAAAATGTAAAATTCAGTATCACTTAACATATCAAAATGACAAATTGTCCACCATAAATTGAATCAAATCATATTTAAACTGATATTTATTCTACTTTAGTTTTTATTGCTTTCAATGGTACTTTCCTTTTCCATTTTTGTCACAATAACATATTTTTTATTTATTTATTTTAATGTTAATGACTTTCAACAGATTCCCTTATATGCAGTTATTTGTACCCAATAATATTGAAATAATTATCGCAAAGGTGCAAACATGAAACTGGATGTAAAATATGAGCAAATTCTAAACGAACTAAACAATTTTATTAGATACCTGGTGGCAAAATAAAGAATTAAAATACTGACTCAATTCGGCTGTCTATGATTTTCAGCACATTTATCATGTATATAAGTTTTGTTTTAATGTAACAGAGAATATGTTTTCGGGGGAAAGCAATGTCAATTCCTACCATTCCATCCAAAAAAATCAATGCATGCACAATCCTATTTTGTTTTATTTAAAATAGGCGTGAAATATTAACTTGGAAGTCAAGAAAATTGCATACATCTTTGGCATAAAGCTACCCATTTAAGGGCGTTTAGATGAACTATGTCATTTTGTTGAATCAGATGAATTAACCATGCAATGAGATTTTTTTTTAAAATAACTGTTATGACTTTTTTGCCTGAATTTGACGCTATATAAATAATTTGTATAATTATTTAAATAATGGTAAAATAAGAAAATGAACTAAAACTTGATGTGAAGGTACATACTGGTTTAGCTAGGTTTGATGCATAAAAACATCGACCTAACAAAGTCGACCAATTCGTGTTTTCTCCTTGCTTAACGATCCCGGTAAGCTCCGGATTTGGAGTGTATTTCAATGTCTGTTATTGTGTAGGCTTGTAAAGGTCTAATCATATCTCAAATTTTATTTCAAATAAAATAAAATAATTTATTGCAACATTTTTTAAAACTTCTTTTGTGATTCTGTTTTGTTATATTTTCACAATTAAAATGGTGAAGACATTGCTTACCGGTGCTGTGTTATTTTTCTTCTTTATTGTTTAATTCTTTTGATGATCGACTTACCATTTATCCGTTCATTCCTTTTTTGTAAATACCTGCTCATTTGCTTGTGGTTGTTACAGGCTCAGCTTAATTGTTCAGGAATTGTACTTATAATTGCAAGCAACCGTCCACACCTGTTAGCACAGTGTTCAGCAGAATTCAACATGAACTGGCAAAATTGGAAACTTTCTCAATTAAACGAAAAAAGTTTAGGCACCCTTGAACCGTTTATAGTTTCCCCCGTATATATAAAGCTTACGTCTGTGATGTATACGTAAACTACAACAACCATATAGTACAGCTTACACTACCGTATAAAGCTTTTGCTGTATACCCCGTTATAAATAATGTATGTTGGGTATGTTGACAACAGCACTGTATGCATCTTACATTACACGGTAATCTGTAAAGTTAATAGTTATGTTGTTTATTGGAAGGATGTTCTTTTTGAGTTGTGCTTGCCTTCACTTATCAATGTATTTGACTTTGAAGGTCAAATTAATGAATTGTTCTACATTTGTATAATAAGCATTGTTGCTATAGAATCGAGCACCAATAAGTTTAGGACAATGTCGTAAAGAAAATCAAACCTAATTTTACCCTAACTAATAAATGTCCTTCAACTTCAAGGTCAAATTATTGTGATTTCACATTTGTTGCTATAATTGACTGTAATTTTGTAATTTTAATGTATATTTTCATACCTATGCACAACAATCCTCGGGGTAATATTTTAAAAAGGTTTAATTGAAATTGATCTTAATTTGACATTGACACAAACAGTCAAATTAGTGAATTCTGCTACAAATTGTTCCATAACTTTGTTCTTTATGTATGATTTTTTATACTTGGGCAAAAGAACCCAAACCCAGGGTTATGACAACACCGGTATGTAAAATATAAGTATATCCTTGACCTATTTTTTGACATTGAAATTATTGAAATTTTATCAACAAATATGATTTATACTTGAACTAGAGAACACATTTGACAAGACCGACATGTTGAATTATTTTATATGACCTTAACATCTGTCATAAAATGACTTTGATCATCAAAGTAAGTTATTGACATTAGGTCAAAATGTCAAAGCTTTTTTATTTATTTACAGATATTATTCATACATGGACAAAGGAACTCATATGAGTAATCAGACATGATGAATGATTCTGATATCACCATGACATTTGATTGACATTAACTAACAATGTCCAGTTATTGCAATTTCCATAAATTGTCATAAAGTTGCCAATTGAGTGTTCTTACTCGCCGTCGTGATCATAGAAATACAATTTTACAAAATCAAGTTCGATAAACAACCCACCGTATTTAACACTAATGTGATAATTTGTTTCTTTAGTATCATATTTGAATATAATCTCAAATAGACAAAATTTACAAGCCCATTTAAGAAGGATTAATTTTGAGATTTTTTTTTCAGAAATATTTACATAGATCTTTAAGACGGATGTTATTTTACTTGCGAGATTGAGCCGTTCAGATGATATGGTAGCACTTGAAAGCACCAAAATAGATAAGAAGTAGCTCTTTAGGATGTACATAACGAGTTCTTGTTGATTGTCTTTTTCATTATTTCATAAATTTTCGTGGTCTCAAGTATCAAATTATATAAGATTTGAAAAACATTTTGTGTACAACGAAAGAGAACAAATCGACACTAGATTTGCATTTTTTAAATTTTTATAATTTTGATGCAAACCGTTTTATGTTTGAATGCAATAAAGTGTCCGTAATACTTGAGTGTATGTATGCATGTATTATATAACAATTTGGACAATTTCCTTCTAGCAATTATTTTTTTCACGCAGATAACGCTTAGAGACCATCTCCAAAACATAATATACGACTCCAGAAGATAAAACCGTGATCAGTGATAAACTGCATTAGGAGATTTTAAAACTGGAATATGTACAGTAAGTATTCTTACTTTTATCGTCAGTAATGAATAACTGTTTTTGTCTTTTTGAATTCTTTATTTGAATAAGATATTGTTTTTGCTAGCTATCAAACCTGCTTAAGCGTAATTAAAAGTTATGCAACATAGACAAAGGTCAGTTGAACTAAACCATATATATAGTTATGTGTTTTAATAAACATATTTATTTGTGATAGCATGGCGATATATTCATGCTGTCGTAATTAGTATGATGAGTTTAAAGTTTGAGTTTAAACATATTTCATTCCTTTCTATTTTTACAATATGTACAATGCAAATATTTAGAAAGAAAAGTATATAAATAAATTTTGAAAGAAAAAGGGTTGGACCACAAGTTCAAATAACATTAGTAAGTCGGTCCGTCCCTAAATTAGTATGATCAGACACGAGCATAGATTTATCAGTTAGTTCAGAACATTATTGTTAGAATTTAGCATAAATGGTAAAGGTCGCCTTTTGTGTCATTTGTTGATTAGAAGAAGCCAATGTTTTAACATGTTTATATAGCTACATATCGAAAATATATTTAGATTAAAAGAATATTGTTATAATCAGAAGAATAGAATCATCATTATTTTAGCTATCAGGTATTAAACCTGACCATGGACTTTCATCCTCATATCTTTAAACGAAATATGATTTAAATAGTGAACATGTGTTACCGAAAGTTTTATTCATCTTTATAACTGTCTACTCCCATTTGACGTTAAGGAAGCTATTGCAGCACGGAATCTCCTTCATAAAATTTGATTAAATTGCAGACCGAAGAATATTATAACATAAATATTTAAAGCAAAACCAAACGCAAGGTTAACGTTTTCGTTTTTTAGAAATCTTTTTTCAATAACATATTTGATGAGCTAGCACAAAATGATTCGTAATTTCAATTAACATTTGTTTGTTCCTTTACAGACACGATGAAAACTAATTTAATTGCAGAAGAGAAGGTAAATAATATTATTCAGTTCACACGTCTAATAAAATGCAACCAATTAACTTCCAGTATTTACCCCATATGGTTTCCAATAACATTCATTATTTGATCTTGTGAGTACTTGACTGATTCTATTGGACTTGAACACCGGTGAAAGGATTATTTTGAACACTGATTGCGCCTCGTTCTATACAGGATTAACACTCGTAAAAACTCTTAAAGAGAATTTAGTACCATACTCATCAATCTTTAATTAACTCATATTTATTACTTGTCTATTACATAGGATCCAAAATTTGTTTGTCCAATACATTTTCAATAGGGGAACAAAACATTCCGGCATTTTTATCGATTTACAGTACAAAAAACACCTGAAATGAGGTTCTTAGAATCTATGATTTCTTATTAAAGTCTTTGTTAAAATCTTTGAATGAAATATATTGTCTTGTGTTTAATTTTACAGAAAGTCTACTTGTTAGATAGCTCTGACGATGACATCATGTTCAACGCATTTGAATCAATGTTGAAAATGAAATTCCAAGAATACCACCACATTGAAAGAATAAAAAGTATGGATAATGACAAAGTTAAAGAAACAATTATAATAATATGCAAGCCATCAACATGTCGGCTAGAAAATGAGCTTGACTTGTACCTGCAAAATTTTGATGGTATATATTTTTTCATTTATGATGTTTCAAGAAACAATTTCGATACATGACATACATGCTTAGATATAACATGAAAATATATTTTGAAAATTGATGATGTCTTAATTAATAAATAAAGAAAATAACAAATTTCAGACATTGAATAATTTTTCATGAAACATTTGCACATTTCTTTTGGACATTTGACTGTTATGAATCACAATTTATCGGTTGATTTTAATAATATGACTTGATCGTTAATTTTAATAAAATGACTTTATTTTCTCATTGATATTTGAACCTATTTGTTTAAAATACCATTTTTATATTTATTTCTCAGAACCTTTTTAGTGTTGGTGCCCTGTTACCAAAACTAACTCATTGCCAAATTTCCTGAATTTTCTTTTGTTTCTGTTGCCTTTTAGTAACTCGCACAGAGACTGTCATTTAGTATCTTGAATGGAGGTCACAATACTTTTTTTTTACATTTTACCATCTTTATACCAAATAAGTTAAAATTGTTTTCTATTTTCTTTAGGTAATAAGCCTCTAAAATGTCTAAAGCGAGTAATAAATGGCCTTTTTAAAGAAGGAAAAAATTAATCATATATGAAGCATATTGTGCCTTTAAAATAATGTGGGGTCGTCGGCATAATTTAGTTTGCTGTTTACCTTAAAGTAATGGTCGGAATGAGAGCAATATCAAATGTATGTTTTCTTTATTATGAAATTCCATTACAAATGTATCTGTTTTACACCTATATACAAAAATATTAAAAGTAATTTTTCTTCTTCTTTTTATAGAACGTGAATTTGACAATTGTCTTCTGGTATTGGTTCACAACAGCAATCTTGGTGAAAATCCGCGTGTGCCTTCGAGAAATAAAGTTGATCACTTGCAGCGTTATAATACGTTACATAATATAATTGATGTTGAATGTTTAATGTCAAGGGGATCGAGAATGAAAATATTGTTTGGCGAGGAAATATTGCAGCAGTTCCTTGGAAGCTGTAGAAAAAAGAAAAATGATGGATTATGTGCTTTCGTGGTAAATTTTGCAAAGGAACACAAGATTATTGTTTGCAGTGTTGCGGCCTTTTCATTTGTTGCTGTTGTTGTGTTTCCTGTCGTGTTTGTTACCTGCTGTAATTAATCTTTCATTGCTATGCACAATGTTATTTATATCATTTATAGTTGCAACAGTTCGGCTGTTAGCCCAAAGTTTTCAAGAAAAAAAAAACAAACACACGCACCCAGGCACACTAACACATGGAGCACACAGGCACACTAACACATGGAGGTCCATTGTAACTTTATTTCCATTAAAATTACTTAGACGTAACTTTTTTTTCAATAGGTGTTCATTTATTAGGTTATCAGTCATTAGGTAGCAAGACAACTAAAGATGGCAAAATGTTTAATGACTGCGACTCATAACGTCGTTTGAAGAAATACAATGACAAATTTAAATGAACGTTCCTCGTATTGTTGCGATTATAAAATAGTAAATGATAGAGAACAATCTCAATTTTTTTTCATCTTATCATTTTGCATTTCACTATCTTAATGTTTTTCATTGTTGTAAATAACTGACCATTTTTAGTGTATAGTCTGTACATACTTTCCAGGTGAAAAAAACGCACAAGATAACTATTATCGTTTCAACGTAGCAATGTTGTCACACTGTTTATATCATGAAAAAAAGATAAATAAAAAATGCACATATATTTGATATATTGTGTAAAATAAATTTAGTGTTTGGTTTTCATTTTCAAAAACCGGCCGTGTGTTAAAGGAGTTTATATTGATACAAGTCTATTGGCAGAATGAAAGCCGTATAATATATTTAATTTTAACTTGTCATGATCTTATAATGTGTTAACATAGTTTTTTTCGAAGCAAGCAAACATTAGGTGACAGCGATCTCTTTTTCAACGTATCTGCCGAAGAATCTGAAACAATGCTCACATAATCAAGAGAATCAAGATTAAGAAGGCCTGGTACTTTTATTCTTCTTTTTGTAGGCAGATATATCGACATACCTCATTTCGAGCGATTGTGCGTAATTATGAGTAGTTTAGTACATACATGTATATCTTTTCGTCTATACTTAAACATGGGCCAATTTTCTAAAAGGAGTCAGAAGAGATATTATGTTGCTCTTTGATTATAAATACATGTATTTATCTTTGAAGAAGAGTTACTGGTGAAAGTTTTCCTGCTGAAATTAACTGTATTAATGTGAAATTCAAGTTTTAGTCAATATCTAAACATATGAGTAAGTATCTCAGTCTGTCTCAACAAATTTGCAAATTTTATTTTTTTATTAAATAAAATAGTATAATGATTTGGAGTTCAACTCACAATCAGCATGACCTGTCTTCAATTATTATAAAAAAACAAATCAGAATATTTTTTATATATTTACTTATTTACATTTTGATGTTATTCTTAAGATGAGAAATGAAAATAAAAACAGGCAATTCACTAGCAAATGAAATTGAGTTTTATTAAATAATCACAAATAAAAACATTTGAAATGAAACCACCACTTTACAAATATTAACATGAGTAGATCTTTATAATTGATTTGATGTTCTGTCGTTATTTAATATTAAATTTATGATATAATTATGATGGTGTTATTTTTTATTATTAAGTTTTTATTTGAGTAAGGTATGTGTACTTATGTGTAAAAATATCAAATCAAATGACTTAAATATTCTAACAAATCATTGTCAATAATTTCATTTTTAGACCGTCTCTGTCCCAGTGAACTATATTTGATATAAATACACTGTGAGGGTCTAGGCCATGTTATCAATTTCTGTACATGATGATATTTGCTCTATTGTCATTCCAAATCCCTACATTCCATTGTTTGCCCGTATAAGTTATTATCATCAGATTTATCATGTTCACTTCCCGTTTAAATATCTTCGCTTCTTTATTTTCTACCCCTGCAACATTTATTTCCTCCTGTATATTAAACCTTTAGAATTAATTTTAAAAAGAAAACCTGAGCAAACAGAACGTAATTTGGACTCTTTTTTACAATAACGCAAGATATTGTAAAACATTTGTAATGGTGAAAATATGTATATTAATGTTTTAAAAATATCACACCGCTTGATTCGATTACCGTCATGTGTGTGTGTTTTATTATTATTTTCATTATTATTATTTACTTTTTTATTTTCGTATTAGAGGCGCATATTATGATAAAAACAACATGCAAATTGGAAATTTTAGCGGATTAAGTTCAAAAGCAAGATATTAATCTGATGAATAAAACATTCTGTATAAAGCTATTTGTCGCTCCTTAAAAATCAAGATAAAATTTGATATATAACATATATATCGGTTACACTACGCTTGTGTTATACTAAGTAGAGATTAGATTAAATGAGGACTACCATGACAGACCAACTAGTTTACGGAACGTCGCTGTTTCTTTTCTGTTCCCGTTCGTGCCTAAAATAATGCACGGAAGGACACCTGAGGTCTTTCTTCACCTGTAAAGCTCAAAAATTCTAATATGACCTAACTTGGTGCAGCGTGAAATCCAACAAATTTTTTTATCAGACTGCTTATTTTGTAAATATTGCTGTAAGTACTAGCATTCTACAATATAAATATTATTTTTAACAGAAGTCTGATTTATAATCTTTTGAAAATAACTTCAACCACATTCAAAATGCTCAATCAGTTCAAGACCGAGAAAAAAAGCAAATGGTCACCTACGGTATCTACATCCTTGTGAATGCGCGTGTTGTACCTACATCCTTGTGAATGCGCGTGTTGTACCTATATCTTGTGAGTGCGAGTGTATGTATAGTTTTGTTAGGCGTTATTGCAATTGTAATTAGCAAAGATCAGTTTCATTTTATTTCAGTAGGCTTTATCAGTATGCCACAGTTAATTGCTATTTTGACAGGATTTTATACTAAATAACACAATAGAAAATAAGCTTAAACTCTGTGACAATTCAAATTTTGTTATTGCTTGTACTCCAGAAATATAACTTATAACCAAATGGCCCTAAAATACTCAAAAATCTTACAGTCAATACAGATGTTTGTGATATATTGACTTGAAGTTCAATGTATAAAAATAGTGTTTACTATAAACTATATCATTCAGATTTTTCTTAAACATAGAGAAGTTATCCTAATTCTGGGGGAAAAAAAGTGAACTATCACTTTACCTACCACGCGACAAATCAGGCGATACTAAAGTCTAATTGAGCAAGAAAGTTTATGTCTAGCGGAAAGTTTCTATCTCCTCTAGAATCTTTTAAAACAAGGCTTTATTTCATCGAACTGCTACTGGAATTCTCGTTTAAAGCACCGAAAATGCAATTGAGTGTAGTTGTGTAACAAGTGACTGGTTTATGACAATTTCTTATTGCCATTTAAAACAAATCGTGAACCAAAGTAACTAGAATCAAATGATATTACTGTTTTACATGAAACTAAAACGTATATTCATCAGCCCGTACCGTAAAGTTAAACCAATAAGTAAAATTTCTGCAATTCTCCTTCGATTTTCTAGATGATGTTTAAAAGCTCATAAAAGAATTATTTTACTGCCAATAAAAAAAAGAAAGCAAGATCTTATCGAGTGTGTTTGCATCGATGAAATTTATAAAACTGTAATCCATTTGTGACGATATAATAATATATAGATAGTATAATACCTATAAGATATGTAAAAAGCCGGTAGATAAAAGGCCGACACACATTTGCGATTTTAATTAAATTCAGATTAAGAATTTAGTTTTTCGAATGTATTATACTTTTGCGTACAAAAGGACCTTTCTAATTAGAGATTTTTAGCTTGAGCCGATACCGAAAGACGAAGACGGAGACGGCTAATTTTTTAAGGGGGCGTTTCAAAATGATTAAAAAAAAAAGAAAACAAGGCCAAGCCAAATATAATAATTGCATTTATTTCTATTTCAAAAAGCCGTTGTTATGAATATGAATATCTAATTTGATTAATCAGAAGATTTCTCGACATCAAGCTAGTGAAGCAATCTTGGAACTTTGTTTTTAATAAAATCGTTGTACAATAAACATAATGTCAGCAAGCGACCTCATTCTTCTTCACCGTTTCTGTGGACGTGGGGGAGTAAGGTCTTCTTCTTGTGATGATGAAAGTCCTTTAGCAACGTTTTCTCTTAATCAACTGTTTCTTGTTGATTATCCTGATGTGACTGACCTGCTACTTGACTGGCCTCGTGTTATCTCGTGTCGAAAGATGGTGCGCAATAGCATCTAATGCCACTCATCCTGTAAAAGATGACCGAAACAAAAAGACGTTCAATGCGCATATTTGTATGTTACAATATTTATTACATGCTTTTCGGTGGTTTATAGAAATATATCAGTGATATAAATCTGATAATTTCACTGTTTTAAACAGTGAAATTATCAATTTGATAATTTCACTGTTTTGAATTTAAGCCCCTTACGTTGTTTCAGTGAAATACCAGCGTGCACAGTACTGGGGACCAACTTAATGACGTGACGTCGTAAATGACGACACGTTGTATTATTATTTGGCGCGCTTTTCATTCAGTATTAGGTTTAATTGCTTTTAAAACGTATTTTGCATATAATAAAACGAGAATTAGTTTAGTTTAGTGTAAGATCGAAATATATTTCACCTTGTGAACACCAAAAGTTCATATTTCACTCGTGGCTGCGCAACTCGTGAAATATACCTTTTCGTGCTCACTCGGAGAAATATATTCCGATATTACACTGAACTAAACAAATATCCTCTATAACAAAAAGCAAAAGGGTAAACCGATTACAGAAGCAGAATATGAATTATAGTGTTAAAATTACAGATTTAATGTTTTGTTTTGTCTTTTTTTCACCTTCCATTTTACATTTCATATAAATTATCGACAATCATTAGTGTATGATGTTTATGATGCTTTCGTCATTGTTCAACATATCAGTGCCAAGTGCGACAATGCTATATATTCCGATTTTCTATCTACGTCTAAAATATTTGTCGTTTTGACACAGGTTCATGAGTGCTTAGCCATGACGGGCACCAGGAACAGAATTTCTATAGCCGTGATAGCAATCGATGGAACTTCTTATGGAATAAGTAGCCCGATGCACGAATAAAACACAAGAACAGTTTTATTCGGGACATCAAATATAATGCCCAGCAGTATCAATGTTACCTCAGATCGGCACTTATTTACCATTTTCACAAGAGTGCGTTGAACTTGTCGATAAAATTTATCTGACGTATGTCCATATTATGACACCATACACGTCAGCTCAAATACGCCGATAATAGGGGCCTAAACGGAGAAAGTGCCTAAAATTAACAGAATAGTAAAATACTGTGTATGTCTTGAACACGCTATATAGTAGAGCTTAAACGTTCAGGCAAAATTCTAGTGTATGAATAAATAAACAATTGTATATATTTGTACTTATCTTACTTGCCATTAAAAGGTTATAGCACTTACTGTATTTAATTTAATGATAAATATTTTGAAATAGCCCCCGGTTATTATAACCGTTGTTCGTCTCCGGCTATCGTTATCCGTACAAGCTGTAAATCTCTATCAATAAGACGACAATGTTAGTAAGAATATCCATTGTTCATTGCTATACTAAAATTTAAAAAAAAAATGTCAACGGTATATAGCATTGCCAGGTGACTCTGTTCTGGTGGTAATGCAAAACAATGCCATCTTTTGATAATTTTTTAACTTAAGGCTCAATATCTTTATCAATATATGTTAGGGTAAAATTTATAATCTTTCTTTATTTTCTTCTCTTTATTTCGAATTTCCTATAATGATGTGACAGAGTAAATACTATCTGTTTAACATTGCCACTATCTATGCACATTTATTTTCTCAGGTCTTAAGTTTCATCAGCCTTCAAGACTGATGAATATAAGCACATATGTGTGTTCGCGATCTTTTTAGGTTAGTCCAATGTGTGTGACGTTTAACATTCAAAATCAATCAAAATATTTGTTGTAGGAAATTTATTATTTTAGTAAATAATAAGTTAAATGAGTTAAAAAAATAAAAAAAAGTTTTAAATTGAAAAGAGGGTAACATTAACCTTATTACAAATACCATATTGTTGTCGTAACGTAATTACATTTTTTTTCAAGTGAAATTGTATAGCTGAATACAGTCTAATCTTGATGGGATCGTAAATTATGTTTTGGATTCGGCCACTGTGCGTAATATGTGTCGAGGATATGGTCGTTTTCCACAATAATGAGATCCGTACATGTCTCAAAAGCTGAATGAAAATTTATTTTAATCAAACATTTAAAAGCTGTACAAGTCCTGATTAAAACTAAAACAAAAATCATGCATTGAAAGTTCACTATTATTTCCTCTTTCTAAAGGCAACTTAAATTTCTGATAAATTTTATCACATCTTGTCTAACTTATATGAATTTATGTCACTTCAATTTCAAAGTTTTATGTTACTTTGAGTGTGATATAAGAAAAACATAACATACAATAAGATTAATTCTTATATATACGTACATACTTCACTTAATTTGAAGAATGTTTATTGTATATCTTATGATTATTCTTGTTTGAGATAGAAGAGGGGAAGAGCATCAAATGTATTCGTATCGACGTATTTACTCGACGATACGTTTACTATGCATATTACAAACAGTGACATGACAATCATGTTATCTACGCTTTATTTACGACAAAATAAAAATGATTGACTTAAACGGATATTCTTCACATCTGGATTGATCATTATGGGACAACGTAAGTTAAGTTTCAGTTCTGCCTGTTTATTTTTTTTAAATGATATATTTAGTTTCATTTTCATAGTTCCCTCCAACATTTCACATGAAATAACTTTGCTGTCAATAAAAGATTCTACATTTTAACAAAATACAGCTAGAGTCATGGTCATTTTAATGTCTAAGTCGTAAGCGCTCTTTAATGTTAACATACTAGTACTGGCAAACGTGCCACAGAAAATACGTGTCAAATAGTTCATAGAAATATGACGATAAAAATGATAGATTCGGTTAATATTTGCACAAAACAGATAAACAGAGTTCGACATTTACGGTTTTACTAATTTCATTATGAGTTTGGTGTTTTTAGATTAACGTGTTTATACTTGATTAAATCTGCATTATTATGTGTAGAAATAATGATCGTAATAATAGGACTAAGTAGAAGTCGTAGTATTTGCACATTACTTATAGAGGAGATTGTATCAATAGATAGATATATTCTCGATGGATAGTTTTAAAAAATTGTGCTGGTACAGAAATGATAAAAAATATTTATTTCTTTTTGTGTATGTGTTTTATCAAAGGTGGAAACACACAATTTTTACGAGAAAAATACACTGAAAGACACTTCAACCGCAACGCCTACAATTTATTTTTTATTTTAAAATAATTGAGTGTAATAAGGTCATTGTTATTGGCAACAAATATTTAGCCTAAGTAAAAATGTCGATGAATGCTGCTTTAAAGAACCTTACTTGTAAGCTTCTATTAAAGTAAATAGAAATATCTTATCAAATGATAGAAACGAAAATTTAACGCAGCAAATTAACGTACAAGTTTTTAAGTTACGATTATTCAAAAGACAGAACGTCATTAATTGATTCCCTTGACGTTACATTTACGATCTTCCCTTGACATAACGACTTCCTGTGCTATAACAATGAATACACACACTGATTGGCTGAATATTTGTAATTTTGACAATAATTAAATAATCAATTGCATATGGAGTCAATTTGGTCTATTTCTATGCCTATTGACATCTCCGTTTTATAAAAGTCACATACTTGAAACGTTCTCGGGGATGTAATTTCTTGTAGTTTTCATGAGTTGCCCTGACAGCCATCCTACCTCATGGACCTATTCCACTGGTCCAACTGGTGTTATTCAAAATGACTTTTTAAATTAACTGAATACTTTTAAACGAACATCATAAATTTAAAAGCATATCAACATATGAATACTTGTATAAATAGTTTGCAGCAGTCATATGTTTCTGATTTAGAATGTCCTGCATGGTACATATCGATTGCGCGATCGCTGTTGAAATTGCTTGAACTTCTTATTACGTTTCAAAGACATTTTATCAGCGCTGCTAACATACAACAAGAATAATATTACATGATTGTAATAGAAAATGTGCACCCGTATCTCATTTCTCGTTTAAACAATTTAAGTTATACATATTAAATGTGTTGAGCCTGTCACCCGTTATTAGACGTGTCTTTCAATACTTAAGTTATTTTGCCACATACCGTATCTTCTTCTGTATCTCAAGTTAGTTGTATTCCTTATTATATATAAATAGTATTTGATTAGTTAAACAAAATATTGGATTCTTAAGCATATTAGTTATGTTAAATCTAAAACAATGATGGTTAAAATGGTTTTACCTACGAGATTCTTTTGTTAAATTGATTATAAACAGAGAATACAAATAAATAAGATTATGGTTCAACAATTGCGTATTTATTTTCTTATTAATAGTCTATTTTACAATCAATGGTTAATTAATAAGTACTAGAATTGTACTTCATTTTGTTAAGGTTTAAACTGTACTGTTTACATAGTAAATCGGACAGTTATCATTTAAATCAGTGGCTACTTTTGTATATCCCCTCAATATGTGTTAAATTGTCCATGGAACTTTCGTGCATTCTGGTATGAAAAGGGTAAAAATTGACCGAAAATGCTCACTTTAGCCGCTGGTTCACAGACACTTGCAAGATATATCTTACCTCTTGCTAGAACTTAGCCATTTCTAGTTGAAAATAAGGGAATTATTATATTTTTGGCTAGGGTTTCTAAATCTAAAAAGCTAAAAATCTTTGTTAATTTTAATACTTTAAAATGTGGCTTTTTAATTAGGTAAAATAAAATATTATATCGTTGTTGAGGTTATTTTTTAAGTTGTGAATTACTTGAAACTTTAGATTAAAAATTAGACTATTAATAAAAAAGAAATACACAATTATTGAACCATAATTTTGTTTCTTTGTACTTTCTGGTGAAAATTGATTTAAAAAGAATCTGGGTAAAAACTGGAGGTAATCCTGTTACAACTCAAACTAATGCATAGATCGTTACATGACCCTTATCTGTCTTATTTAAATTATTAGATTAGTGGATTACTGTTTGTCAATGATAATGTGAGAGTGACGTTTCATTTTCTATATACACAAATATTTCAGTAAACGACTGAAAAGTTTAAACAGGTCAAAATAATTCGAATATAACAAATACATTGTAGTTGCTTATATGTACATGTAGTGAATGTATAGATACTGGTGGATTTGGTAAAGTTGTTGGGATTGCATGTAAGCTAACAAAATATCTTCCTTAATTTCGTTTTTTGTTGTTATTTTTACATCAGACGAAAATGAATTATCATTCATAATATTATAGTGTTTGCTTATTTTATCTAACTCATAAACTATATACATTTTAATGCCAGCATTACAACGGAGTGTAAGTAAATTCTTGAACACCGTGGAATCAAATGTCATGCAATAAAATTATTTTTTATGACATAACATGAGAAATACGATATTTTTTAAAAATATAAATAATGTAACTTGAATCAAATGTACAAAAAATAAAGCAGTTTTATATGATACTTACATGCAAAAAAACAAAACGCATGGAGGCCAAATATAAAAGAAAAAAAAAAGAGAAAAAAAAAATTCAAAAATAAACTTTTAAGATTCCTCATTTCTTCTTAAATTTTATACAGCCCGCAACGTTGCATCATCACCAAAGAAGAAAAGACAACATCCTTAACAACTGCGTTACACCAAAAATATTTTTCGATATTTGTAGGATATATTACTAAAAGGTTTGATAACATGTGCGATATGATATATCATTTTTCCACCTGACCGGCTCGTCAGTCTATTATCTGAATTGAGCTGTTTCACTACCACATATTTGTTAACCTCTTTATATACATCGTAAGTTTTCTTCAGAACATATATCAATTTATTTTGCAGCATGGCGAAAACATGCAGAAGACACGAAATGGACTGAAAAGGTATTTGTACTTTGCTGAAAATAAATTGAAAAGATAATCAAAGCCTGCCTCAATTGCTACAAATATGCTCTTTGACTTAAGCCATAAAGCCTGGAACTTGTGTGTTTGTTTGGTGCATTGAGTTATTCTTTTGATCGTTCGTTTGTTTGTTCAAATGATTATAGGCATTTCAAAGTTGACATTTTTTGCTGATAACGGGCATTGTAATACGAAATTAAATTACTTTGTAAGATAAGGGCACGTAGAAGTATGTTGTTATTTTAGCATTTATATGAAAATTTAAAAAATGTTTTCATCATCATTATGATTTTAATGACGGGCACATTTGTTTACCATTCATGACAAACTATTTAACTATTCCACCATTAAGTTTATAAATTATCACTCGTACTACTATGTGGAAGGAATGTTTGAAAAGGTTAATGGCCAATTATGCCCAAGAAATGCTTTTACTTCTATCTCTCAAAATCTCTCTGTACCTTTATAATTTCCAAATTGTTGCTCAATTTCAATTGCATGAACAATCGTTTCTTTCTGTTGCTTTTGTCGATAAAAATAGTCAAAGAGATGTAGTGTTTTCTATGAAAATATGTATTCTTCTTTGGATAGTATACATTTTGCTACTATTATGACAAATATTTTACATTAAACAGTACTTTCTTCATGAAAAACACAACATCTAACAAAGTACTCATCAACCACTATTTAAAGTAAAGATATTCATGTTTGTTCTTTTTAGAGAAGTAAAGAAGTAAAAATATTTGTTTCTGAGGCAAAATGTGCCTTTAAATAGCATTTGAGATACTTTAGGCAGTTTTTATTTTCCTTTCAATTTTAGTATAGTAAGACACTGAGGTCAAAGGTAAGAAAGATAGTTCTGAATGAGACATGTAAACCTACATTATTATTGCTGGGACCATCTGGTCACGGAAAATCGACATTGATCAATTCCATATCGACTATTAGCAATAACAGACAATCAAATATAGCAAACAGTGCGTCAGCAGCTTCAACACAATCGACAACCGAGGTACTTATTAATTTGATAAAACGTAAACATTTTTTTTACTCGAATTGTGGTTTTATTGTTTACTCAGTGCCTTAAATTCGTAATATGCATAATGTAGTGTACAATAACCTTATGACACTACGGAACGAGCAAGGGCTTACAGGTATGTTTTAACAATGTGTAATAACGTTCCTATAATTAAAAGCAAATGTTTTCTCTTTATTATTTTCATCATTTTAAAATAAATCCGTAACATCACCTTGTACTTTAAATTTAGTTTCGCAGGTACGAATTAAGAGGTTACCTTGACACCTTTCGGGTCGCGGATACAGCAGGTGTTACTTTGGAAGAAAATGAGCAATATTTAGAAAACATTCTTGAAATTATAAATGGGCACATCCGTCCAAATAAAGAGGTATTTAAAGATATTATATGCTTATCTTAAGGTAAAATACTTGTATTGCTGAAAACATTCAAAATCTAGGAATATCTTACTGAATATGACTAATTTGAATTAGAGATTACACAAACTGTTTTAGGAAGGTGCAATCCATTTTAGTGGCCAGGTTAATTTGTTTCACCACTTCTAAAAATAAAAACCAGTTTTTAATGACACTATGTATTCATTATACGATTACTAGTTAAAAAAACACATATTATCTGTATGAAGTCAAACAAATTATTATTTTTACTTTTTTTTCTTGTTCTTTTAAAGACTGTGTAATAATTAACAGTATTTTCAAGTATCAAATTTGAGCATAGTATATATTTAATATTTTCAATTCTAGATTATGTAAAAGTAGTAAAGTAGGAATTAAAACTTCTGAAAACATCAAACTTTCTACACTCCCCAAATGCTTAACATTCCACACCTTAAATCAAAGGGCCCCAAACTCTTTGGTATTTCTGATCTTTGCTATCTAAATCGTACAGTATATCGTATGTTTGTATTTTCTTTGATATACTATAATTCATCTTGCAGCGACTGCGTTTAGATTTTTTGCTATAATAACAGTTTGAGTTTGTTACATACGGAATTTTGCATGACCAGAGTTTCTAACTTGCATTATGAAATCATGTACATTTTGTTATGACAGCAACCCAAAAATGCGCCAGTATTGCAAGGTCCTTTTGTTTTACATCTGATAATTATATTTAGTAAACAATTTTATCCAAACAATAACAATTTTATTTCTGATTTATTTATTTACTTTTTATTTGGACTTTTTCTTTGTACGCTGCTGACAGCTGATTTATTTCTCAAATTTTGAATAAACGTTAAAGGAACTTCGAATCAACTACCATTTTTTCTTTTTCAGTGGAAAGTAATATATGTGTCATTTGTCAAATTGACATTTGCGTGTGGAAAACAAACTATTTTTGTAAGATTTTAGAAAGTATGATATAGGATATTTGGAATTTGCACTAGTACTGTTATTTATTTAAACACACTTATGTTACCTACAATATTCTCTCACAAGATGATAATTAAATTAAAGACTCTTAAAAATAATATATTTAACATATGAGTATTCTTACATTCTCAATGCAGAAAAATCATACTATGAAGCGTTATACTAAAATCAACCACAAAAAAACACAACAAATTATAACTTCAATTAACCTTAAAAACAAATATCTGAAGTTGAAAGAAATATATGCGAAGGACTTCTTACTGAGCATGAATGCTATATGGCCTTAAATGAAATGAAAAATCAAAAAAGTCCCAGATCAGATGACATAACAAGTGAATTTTATAAAACATTTTGGGAAACAATCAAAACTCATTATATAAAATCTATAAATCATTCATATTTAACAAAACACTTAACAGCACTATAAAAACAAGGAATAATTTCGTTAATACCTAAAGAAGGAAAAGATACATTATTGTTGTCCAATTGGCGTCCTATAAGTCTTTTAAATGTAGATTATAAGATTGCAACAAAAGCCATTGCAAATAGATTTAAGAAAATTAAAAAGCAACGCCCAAACTGGGTTTCTAAAAAATAGGTATATTGGAGAAAACATCAGATTGTTATCTGAAACTATCGAATACTTATACATTAAAATGAACCAGGTTTATTAATTTTTGCTGACTTCGAAAAAGCTTTTGAAAGTATTGATCATGATTTTATTTTTCAATGTTTAGAGAATTTTAATTTCAAGGAATCTTTTATAAACTTGCTAAAATTATTTTTCAATGAAATAAGTAGTGTGTTAATGATGGCAACTTCTCTGACAACTTCCCGATACGTAAGACAAGGATGCCCGCTTTCATCTCTGCTCTTCATAACATGTATTGAATTACTAGCAAGTTATATATTAAAATATGATAATGATATAGACAGAATTATTGTTAATGAAAAAGAAATAAAACAAATGAATAAATCTACTATTTTAAAAGTGGGGTCTCTTAAAAACACTAATTAAATATTTTGCCAAAATAAACACTTTAAATGGACATCTGAATCCGCAAAACCACTGGGCATGACCTTTTAAAACGACATTAAAAAAACAACATAGATCTTAATAAAAAGAACAACATAGACCTTAATTTACAACAAAAACTTAATAGTTTCAAAAATTGTCTAAAAAAAGGGAACACAGAAAAAATTAAAAGAGATATATTAGAAATAGATTACAAAAATGGGGGGGGGGGGCTTAAAATATAAATATTAATTGGTTTTTAAATTCAATTCAAATGATGAGAGTGTGCTTTGGACTGTAATTTATATAAAAAAAAACATTGAAAAAAGTAAGAGGAGGCTTAACATTTGAATGTGAAATAAATAATCAAGATATCAAAACTATTTGTAAACACAGAAAAAATACTTCTACTCTTTTGAGCATTTCAAAGATTATATAATTTAGAAAATAATGCATTTCTGAAGTTCTACCAAATCATCACAAGCATAAATCCTAATGTAAAACAAAATCATCAAAAAAGATGAAAACATCTTATAAACTTCAGTAAATGGGATCAGAGTTTGTAAAACACCAAATAAATTACTAATTACAAAGCAAATGAGGGTAAAACCAAAAGCAAAAATCAAATCTGAAAATAAATGGGAATTTAAAAGTGTTTTGGAAAATAATAATACAAAATGGAAATCAGTATATAGCCAAATTTTAAAGCTTTTATTGATACCAAAATAAAAACTTTTCAGTGTAAAAATTTAATGCAAATAATTCCAACAAATAGATATCTATCAAGTACTTGATAATTTAATTTTAATAGATATCTATTTGTTGGACTTATTTGCATTAAATATAAACACTGAAAGTGTGATTTCTGGCCTAATATTCAATCATTTATTTGTTTTCTTTTAGTTCCATATCAGTTGCTAATTATTTATTCTTAGGTATTGGTTTGCCTGCCCGTACTCTGCCGAATGCCCTTCCCTGTTATTGTTTGGGGTCCGCAAATGGCTTTTGTTACTGGGTTCGGTGGGTACTGCGTTTATTGAACGCCACCTTTCCTTGATGATCTTGTTTATCATATTTTCTGTATCATGCAGCCTGAAAGTATAAAACGTCTTTTCTGGGAATGTCATCATGTTCAGGCTATGTGGAACAGACTAGGAAACTTTTTAAATATAAACGGGTATTTTGCAGTTGGAAAAGTGATGTAATAAATTTCATTATTTATCTAATGAAATCTTATATTTTTCAACAGAAAAATAGACAAAAGTTATCTTTTTTAAACATTTCCTGTCATATTTAAAACTTAGAATTACTATTAAAAAGAAATTGCAATTATTCAAAATAAGGATGAATACCATCTATACTATCTTAAGAAATGGTCCTTTATAAAATTATAGTAGTATTCTTTATCACAAACATTAAAACATTAACTTTTATTAAGATTTAATGACAAACTTTAAATATGCGTTTTACGATACATGGGTATGATCTCTCTTTACACACATTCCCTCTTTCCTTTTAGCTCACAAGAACCGAAGGTTCAGGGTGAGCTTTAAGTATCAAGGGGGATACTCCGGCGTCCGCCGTCCGTCGTCATGCGTCAACAATCATCTTCTTCTCTGAAACAACAGGGCAGATTTTCCTCAAATTTGGTCTGAAGCATCCTTGTGACAATCACACTTAAATGTGTTCATGCCATTTCAATTGACCCTTATTAGGGGTCAACAGAGCTAAAAAAGAAAACCTTCACACATCTTCTACTACTTAATTAAATTATGGATGATCTCCAAACTTTGTCGGTATCATTCTTATGTAAAAACCTTTAGACATCTTCCTCTACAGAACTAATGAATGAATGATCATCAAACTTTGTCTGTAACATTCCTAGGTAGTCTTTATGTTAATTTGATTCGCGTTTTTAGAGGCAGCTAAAGCTAAAATTAAAAATATCTTTTAACGTCTGCTTCTACAGAACTAATTGATGAATGATCACCAAATTTTGTCTGTAGCATTTTTAGGTATTCTTTTATCAAGTTTGCTTATATGTAATTTTCCTAACCTGTTTCAGTTCAATGTTGTAAACTCTACAAAGGATGGCGACTACTATATCAAATCTCCAGGCGAATCCGACAAAGTTCATTGTGTTATTCTTGTAGTTGACATAAGAAATTTTGACAAAATGAACACGGCTTTCAAAAACTACAAACGTTCAATCCAAAAGATGTTAGCGGAACTGAATAAATCAGGTAAATAAGCAGATACAATTTAAACAACTGTAATGACTAATAACATGTTTCAATATCTTTCACATATTATGAAGTTGACATGTTACACGGCCTTGTAGGAATTTTAAGAAATACCATTTTGTTATTGTTGTTATATTTTTTATTCAGATATTCCAAGAATCCTGGTTCTAACTCATGCAGATAAAATGGATAGTAATGTAAATGAAGACATATCAAAAATGTTCTACAGTGAAAAAATAAAAGAAGCAGTCGAAATCGCGAGTGAGGCGCTTGGTATACCACTAGAAAACATACATCCGATCGTAAATTACTCAAATACGAGCTATGCAGTTGTCGAACCCATCCTACATATTCCGATTCTTCTCGCACTACAAGCAGCTCTTTATTTTGCATCCGACACGCTGAATAAACGAATGTGTTAATATAAGATTATTGTAATTTAGATTGTATAAGACGTGTACACAACTGAAAACCTATATTTGATACGACACTAGCCGAATTTAATAAAGGTATTGTAACTGCGTTTGAGTCCATTCGAATCAGTCTTGTACTTGACAGCATATTTGGCAATTTATTTCACACCACCAATTGTTAACATTTTGCAATTATATTTTCAGTTCGAGGACAGTATGGACTGAAGATTGATTGTTACGTCTTGATAGAATTATGATGCTTTATGATGGTTTATTCGTTATCAAATAGTGACTTAAATAACCATTGTATATTTAGAAGTGTTTCTTTTAGAAAATACATATCTATCATTTAGTTTAAGTAATAATATAAACATAGTGTATCAAGTTTCGTCAATCAAACAGTACTTTTGTGTTCGGGGTTTATTATTACATAAATTGGTGTATTAATACAGTTTAAATCAATAAACAGTCGGAAAGTATAGTTATTAAACTATTGGCGTGTTATTAAAATAGTATATTTTTCCAATTATAATTGGATAAAGATATTTTATTTCACGTTTGTCATCAAAAATATTTCGCTATGATAAACTCATGATGTTCTTGCTTATGGGTTGGTATTTTGATTGTTTATGAGAACATAATAGCAACCTTCATTATGTAACATGGCAACAATACCAAAACGACCCGGTGCCAGGTTAGTTGTCAATCTTGAAAATTGTTTTTCCGGTTTGATAAAATTTCTATTACATTCCATTTAAAGTGAAAGAGCAAAATGTCAACCCTTGACACTAATTTTTCAACCTCGTCTAACGCCTCAGTTGGCATCACTTGCTTGAATCATTATTTCCTTCACATTCCGAGGGATGTTATAGCAATTCCTTTGACTTTTCCGGAAAATAATAAATGATAAATGTGCGTGCGTGCTTGTGTACATGCGTGCGCGCGTCCTTGTGTGTGTGTTTGTTGGTGTATGCGCGTGCGTGCGTGTGTGTGGGCGTGTGCGTGTGTGTCCGAGGGGAGGGAAAAGTGGAAGATGAAATGGAAAGAAAAACATAATAATTGTACATAAAACGAGAATTTACGCCTAACTAAACATTTAGCTTTTAATAAAGAACATGGCACCGCATTGATATGGAAAAAAACACTATTTAGGGGTATATCTGATATAAAGTGTACCTTACCTCATACTGAGTGCCAATATTTTCTTATAACAAACTCTAAATGATATGGATACCCGCAAAGCGACATTCTAATATGCTAAAGTTACAAAAGTGATATAAATAGGACACTGACTCCCAAGACTAATATCTTATTACTCAACTTACATTACAAAAAGTGTTTGTTGAACAAACATAGAATATATCAAATGTCAACTTTCGAGTAATTACCAAGTAAGTAAGGCGTAAGTGTCTCTTTGTACATTATTATAGGCTTAAACGGGCACCTGATTCGGCCAGTTGGTGTTCTGTAATCTAGCTTGATAGCTTTCCAACATTAAGAATATGGCGACGGTTGCGCTTCTTGAACTTAAAGCGATGAGAGGCAAGTTTTTCAAAATCACTTATCAGGGCGCAACATATGGAAAAATAGACAAATACTATGCTAGGTCAGTCACATTGATTATAAGAACTGTCCGTCACATAGTTGTCAGCTCAGTCTATCAGGACCAATTGTAGATAAAACACATACGTAGAAATCAGGTTTGATAAAACCTAGCTGCAAAAGAGTCTTAAAATTGCTGCTAATTTTGGAAAAAGAAAGATAGAAATTACAGAAACAGTTATAGAATTTGATGAAATACTTCAATAAGTTATGATATCTTCGGTCTTGTTAGAGACCTTTGCTTGTAATGAAAATATTATGCTAGTAACATAAATCATTAAACATGGGAACATGCCCAGTTAAATCTGACTATATCTTGTTTTTGATTGTATACAGGCTATTTCATATTTTTCATGATTCATGATACAATATACCGGTGTTATAAAATATCGGTAAATACCGGATTGATTCTACACCGAACAGGCTCTACATATATGAGAAAACCAAATAGTTATTTCACAATTTTGCTAATTCGTGAAGAAATGCTCTTAACTATCGATGTATATTCCGTCTGCAGTAATCAAGATTAGCGTCGAACACATCAATTGCATTGGATTTTGAAAGTAAAGGATACATTTTTCTTCCACAGTTAAGAGAACCACCATTAACAGTAAACCATTTATTACAAGAGGGGACGCAACAATCCAAAACTCATAAGAACAATTTTATTTATTTTATTTATTCGTTTTTGTTTAGTTGTACATTGTACAAACACGGTAGAGATCATGCGCAGCTCATGTGGCGACTTTTCAGATTTACTGTGAATGAGGACCTTAGTTGTCCCTCCGTGCATGATAAACTTCCTCACATTAAAGACTCCAAAGTTCCTGGCATGATTTTACTTTAACAACTTAGCCACGGACACCCCTCAACATGACAATAATTCGATATGTTTCTGTTTTTGTGGGAATTAATCAAAACTAACTATTTTTGTTTTATGTTTTATTCATTTCCCTACATTATAATTAATGTGTTCATCTTCCTTTCCCAAATTTAAATTTGATTCAGTTGTATGTTTAATGATAACACAATCAAACAGATTCCATTTTGAAATGGGAGCATGTGTTAGAATTTCAAAAAACGTTGAATTAGCAACAGAATATAATTAGACAAATATTTTCTGTTTAGCAGAATGTCACGAACATTGAGGATTATTAAAATTTTATATGCTGCTATAGGGAACGTCATGGCACTGCAACACCGCACTTCAGGGTCAAAGCCATAAAATAAACTCTAACATCCAATATATCAGCGCAGCTTGGACAGTGTCAGATGAGTTCTGCGTAAAAACCCATTATGCCCAAAAATGCTTTTATATTTCTTCTTAAAATATTTTTGTGTACTATTGTATATTCCAAAAGCTACTCATTTGCTATTTTCCTGAACTTCTTGTTCTACTACTAAGTGCTGTTAGTTACAGTGAATGGAAGTAACAATTGCTTCCTTAATGACAAATAACTTCTCATTTACTTGTATTTTCTTCGGTTAAGAATATCTAACATGCTCTGAAATTACATTTAGATAATACATGTATAGCACTCATATTTGCTTTTTTAAAATAAGTAAAATTAATTCTTTACATGATGCACCTGTAAGATAGCAATATAACAAACAATCACAACATATGTCGGAAGTACCATTGACGTAAATGTTACGTTACGGCATGAAAAATGTACATTTATCTATCTTGTGGACAATATGGGGACTAATGCATCACATCAGTATTTATCTTTAATCTAACATGTGAGCTGACATGATCCAAGGAACAAGTTATGGTAAAAACGTTATTTTGTAACATGATATAATGTGCATACTTTTAAAATCAAACATTTGTTAAAATTAACCTAGATTACAGAGTGGGTTGAATGAAAAAACACTATTTGTATGTTAGTTGTTTAAACGGTTAGGAAAATGTAGCTTAAAACAGTGATTTATTATATTAATATTATACGTAATTAAAATAATCAATGACATTCTTTTACCATTCATCATGACGACAATTGCGATTTCATGATCATTGACGTCTTTGTCTTAACTTATAGAATTCAAGTTGTTAGTCAATATTTCGCTGTATTCGTTTTCATTTTTATGTAATTCTCCTTTTCTTCTCTAATCTTATGTAACGGTCAATCCTTGCATACTTGTCCTTTACCGGCTTTGTCCCAATGACATGACAATGTTTATGATAATGTTGATTACATTCTCTAACCAGTTACGTGATGAATTGTTTTTGTATGTAAGGAAGTCACAAAAATCTTCCTTTCCAAAAACTATGGTAAAGTTTTTCGGTAACAGGCAATTAATTTTCAACATTTTAAAAAATTGTGCAAAACTGTTTGGAGCGTGATAACAAACATCGATGGTTTGTAACATTTTATAACGCTCTGATTCACGTAAATTGTATTTTGATGACACACGTGGACTTTCTCCCACATCGCTGTTGTGGATGAAAATGACCAATACTCTCATAAGTATACTTTCTGAAAGATATAAATTAGGTGTTTTTTTTTTAATTTCAAAGTCAAATGTAAGGACTTGTTCATTCTTTTTAAATTTAAACAGCAGGGTGTTAAATATTAAATTTTATTACCACTGTATTACATAATATTGCACAATGTGTATTGTACACTTCCATTGGATTGGCCAGGCGGTAGGTATTAAACAGATTGACACGCGACCGTGGTTGTTTGTTTCCAGCTAGATATTGTATAAATATCTTTCAACCGGGACGTTTTAGAACCATGACATAGTTGATCACATACAATTATGAAAATCGTAATTTAAGAAACTTTCATATATACCGATCTCATCAATGTTTATTGATTTGTGAAGTGACAATTAGTGTGACTTGCATTAAAAAAGTATTAACATGTGTTACGAGGAACCGGATAAAATGAGTGTTATTTCACTTTCCTTAAAGATTTTGAAAAAAATAATAACTATTTAAACTATATTTATGTGACTTAAAAATTATCTGTTTTGCATCGCAGTCAAATAAAGGATAAAATCAGCTAAACTAAACACTAAAAATGCATTATCACCGGCCTGTTCTGACTATTTTCAGAATGCTAATTAACCTCGATTTTATATGTTACAAAATGTCTTTTATCTTTTTTATGAACTATTTCAACAACAATTTAGTTGACTCCAATTTGAATAAAAGATATAATTCCACATTTTCTTTAAAAAAATCTAAATGTCAGGTCCGTGACCGTAAGCGGGCCCACCTAAAGGGGGGGATTCTTAAACAATTTCCTTTTCCATTCTTTTTTTGGCACTCTTGGCAACAAAGCTATAAAGGAATCTTTTCTATTTTTGTTTAAAGCTATTGTATACAATTTAGAAATTACTTTGATACATCTTTCGTTGTAATTCCTGTCTTTATAGATTTCAACTGTACAGTAACTTCTTCAGAGTTTCTACCCTTTTGTGTAAACAAAGTACACTAGAATCAGAAAGCAAGTTTTATTTTCTTTTCTGGGAATGAATTTGCCGTATTTTTTCTTTAAATTTCAATAGAACACAGTATTTGTACAAAAAAACGCTAAAGTTCTCATCATAATATTGAGCGACTAAGATTTTATCAAACAAAAACGTCAAGTCAAGGAATAAAACATAATTTTACAAAAAGAGAGATATTGAGCAAAATATGAGTTTTTATAGAGATCAAATGGTCTATACAGAAACTTCAATGTAATCGCTCTTTGTCTATAAATAAACAAGTGTAGCATAATGTTTTAAAGGCAACAAAAACTCTTAAGTTTTTTGTAAGATATGTCTTTCATATTAATATTATAGTAATATACCTTTATTTTTTTTAAATACGAAACATATTAACAAATTTTACTATCCAATCATTAATTCTATTTAGTGCCGAATCCCCTCTTTGCAATCACTACTGCAGATTCAATTGAATTATTTTCTTATTTGATTTGTTTTCCTTTTTTGTAGAAATCATTTATAATCCCATTTTTGCAGACGAAAGAATGAAAATTTTTTTTCAAACAACTAAAATCAATGTCCATTTGAAGGATATTTAATAAATCTTTAATCAAAATAATCTTCATATATATATTAAAACAAGTTGTAAAATAAAAAACCCACTTACCATCTATGATCTCCGTTATAACACTTGAAATGAATTTCTTTAGCGAGAGTTTCCAACTTTCATTTAAATCATTCTTGAGATTATATTTTATTGCAATTTTTAAACCAAACCATATCTTTTATTTCTATATAACCTTGAGGAAAATATTTACATCGCAAAAAAAATAAATAAAAAAATAAAAATAAATAAATAAAAAAAGCAATCGCTTGTACCGAGACTCTTTTACTGCCCCTTAGCAAGCATATGCTCCCTTGAACACAGGCATCCAATCAAGTTATGAGAAGGAATAACGTTGTACTGCCATATATCCATGAAATAGTTTTTCGAACATAATTTTGAATAATTTCTATATCATTTGCATTATGATATCAATAGAATTCAAATAAATCCTACAAGACTATTGAATAATCTACATTTTTGTTCAGAACAAATTGGTTTTAAATAAATTTAGTAAAGAAGTAGGTATAAAGGGTATTTTGGTGTATTCCTTTGGGTCATATTCCAGTTGCCGTTTTTCGATTAATTGTTGTACGTATACGCTTGAATGTTGTGCTCGTATGTGATTAAACATGGGAGGTTGAGTTAATTTGCGTTCTATTTTGCATCAATTTTTGCTTTTGAAGCAATGGCTCGTAATGAGCACACCATTTTCAATAGAGCCACACGAATAAGAATATTGATTTAAATGACTAGTTGCCTTTAAAATGCATTTACATTTTCTGCATCTATTTTATTGCGACTTCTAATATGAACTACTGCAATTATTTTATGCTCTTGATTAAAAATGCTAAGGACGCTTTTTTTGTAAACAATGCTTTTGGACCTCATACTCGGTAACAACAAGTAATTTTTAGCAGTAACAAATAAAACTTCATGAACGAGCACATTTTTGTGTCATCATTTACATGTTCAACTGTGGCTAAAGCATATGCAGTATTTTGTAGCCCCTGGGATTAAATGTGTTGTTTAGGATCTCGCAGCATTTTAGTATGTATGAGTAATGTCAATGATTGATTAGATAATTTCATTATAGATTTGCAATGTTATGACATATATATTCTCAACAAAAT